TAATGGCCAAAAAGTATTTTAATAAAGTAGTATATATAAATATAGCACCACCAAAATAATAGATTCTAACAATGGGGGAGCCTTTATAAAAAAAAATCTTTACAACAATAATACAAGCCTTGGGAATTAAACAAAAGCTCCATATACCATACCGGCCTCAGTCCTCAGGCCAAGTAAAGCACATGAATCGCACTATTAATAAAGCTCTCCAAAAAATAGTAAATAACACAAAAAAAGACTGGTCAAATAAACTGCCTCTAATTTTGACTGCCATCTGCAGCAGTAATAAACTAAAAACAAAAATTCAACCCTTCCAAATTCTGTTTGGACATCCAATGAGCCTAATAATTAATCCTAGTTACCTGGTATAAAAAAAAAAAAACAAAAAAACCTGTAATATAACCCAGCATAATTATTTTCAATAGCTCAAACAGCTACAAAAAAATAATACCACTCTCCAGTATAGGGTTAATCAAGCCATCAAACACTTAAACAACAAAATTCAAAAACAAAGGTCCAGAAAGGCAGCCTTATAAAAAACAAAAAACCCAAGTCATGTACCTTAAAATAAAGAAAAGGGTCACTCATTAAAATAAAAATAAATAGGCCCTTACTCCATAGTAAAGCGCCTTAGCCCATTGGTATACCGCATTAAAAAAAAATAAAAAACTGAAATGGGTACATGTTTCACAAATTAAATTGTTTACATAAATAATAATGTTTAAATTCTTTGCACACAAAAAAAAAATAAAAAAAAATCCCAAAACCTAAGCACAAAGCACTGCTTAACCACCACAATATTAGTCCACAAAAAATAAAACTCCAGTGTAAGGTCTGGCTTTATCTGCTTCTAAAAACTTTTAGTGCCCAAATAATTAAAGCAATCATAAAAAAATGCAGCCCTCCTTATAAGCCAATATTTAAAAAATAATGCATTCCCCACCAACCAATCATAAATTCCTACCCATAATCCAGTAATCCTCATAAAATGGTATAATAAAAATACTAGCCAACTCTTAAAATCCTTAAAAAATACCCAAATGTATGCCTAAAAAAAAGAGTAAAACTTAAGGTTCACCTTATAAACACCACAAAAATACCAAACCACTAAAAAATAGGTGTTAAAATAAAGGGTCCCTATAAAAATACCACCTAAAGTTCCAGCTACCCACATTTATCATATCAATAAAATAAGCCTGTTAAAAAAAACCCAATTCTAACAGTTATTGTGGGATACTGTTTAAAACTATGATCCCCAAACACATGCACCAAAATCTAAACCAAAAACTATGCATTCAAAAAGGTACCCCAATTAAAATAAAAAACAAAACAAAATTGTTTGTAACTCAAAGTAATCCAGTAAAAGTCTTGTTAAATATACTATTAGTTAAAAATAAAAATTGGTATAAATTAAACTCAGTTAACCGTGTCTAAATTAAAACCCAAATGTTCCCCTACTCCCTTCCTATTTTAACAGCCTAAATAAAAACACATCAACGCTTCAATAACAAAACAAAACAAAATGTAATAAACACCATATTTAAAAAAGTTAAATTTAAATAAAAAATTATAAATACTATAAACCTAAAAGTAATTAAAAATAAATTAAGTTTCTTGTCACAACTGCAAAATAGTCTCATTCACAAGCAAGCAAAAATACTGTAAATTTAATACAAACTAGTCTAAAAAACCTAAAAGCAACATAAAATATGTGGCAGTGGCTAAACACCACCCCTAGATGCTATATAAACAACAAATAAAATTAAAAAATAAAGCTTCCTTAGCCATAAAATGTACTAAAATGCAAATTCTTAATTTAGCATCACTAAAACACAAAATGTTTTAAATAATATCTAAAAATGTTCGGGTATTAACGCATCTTTTAAAACAACATAAGAGGTCCTTATTTAACACCTACAAATATAAATAAATGCAATATGTTTCCAGCATAGTTAAGCCTAATTTGTTATTAAATAAAATTATTATTAAAATTGCTCAACAATAATCTATAAAAACAAAAATATAAAAAATAAGCCCACTCCCAAAATTGACCATAAAATCCCTTTAGCTACCCCGGGTTATGGGTCAATAAGCTAAAAAATAAAAATAAAAATACATTATTAAACACCCAACACCCAAGGGTATACAAAATAAAACCCTCAAAAATGCGTGTGCTTATCCCTACCTATCACCACAAAACCATGCAGCAAAAACACATAATTAAAAACGTGTATAAAACAAACTAAAAAATGCAACACGTGTTTTGTACAACAATGTGTATGTGTTACATCCTAAAAAACAATATTAAAAAAAATGCAAATACTAGCCAACCCCCAGTAAATAAATGTAAATATAATGCCCATGTATTATAGACTAGCAATCACACGCACTATTTACCAAAAATAAAAAAAGCACAATGCACTATAACCGCCACCCCGGTTAATTTCTCTGTTACCCTTGGCCTAAATTGGAACAATCTAACTAATCACTTGTCAAAAACAAAGGTGACTCAGTTTTTACAACAAACACAAAAAAATATAAAGAAGCGTGTCATTCAAATATTACATGCAAATAAAAACATGCTACAAATTGCTAAATCTAAAAAAAACCTAACAGCCTATCACTGGTACATTTTTACAAGCTGGTCCCCGACGTCTAAAAGCATATTGTCTATTATGTTTCACCCATTACTAGTTGTATTAATATTGTCCTGTGTTTGCTTGCTAAAAATGTGTTATATATGCTGTTAAACAAAAAAAAAGTTTATTAAATTACAATCACAAGCCCAAATTGTCACTCAGTATATATATATAAAACAGTATATAAAACAATTGTATAAAATATGACCCACTCAAGAATTGTTCTTGAGGGGTCAAAAGGTGGATATGTAGTAGTAGAATTTATTGTTTGTATTCTGTATAATTTAAAATAAAAAATAAAGAATAATAAGATAATAATGTAGCATGTATTAAATGTACAGATGTATGATTTGACCATATCCTGCCAGCCACCCTTTTTGAATAGCAGAAAGGAATGGCCTAACAGTCATTGATAGATATGCATCAGCCAGAACTTCTTTGTGTCTAAACTAATTTCAAGGCAGTAACAGACCTTTAAGGTCACTACTTTGTTGTAGGTTTATCATTTTAAAATAAGTTTAAAAATGCCATAATTGTTTTCTTTTGCATTGCAACTTAATGTTCCTGTTCAAAATGTTCTATATAAATTAATTCCATTTTATGTATAAATAAAAAATATATATTAAAAAATAAATATAAAAGCCATCGCTAAACCAAATATGCTGAAAAACCAAAAACGCCAAAAAGCTACATCACACCTCTATTAAAATATCAAAGAAAGCAAATGAACAACTCTAAAAATAAAACAAACACCTATCAATAAAAACAAAATAGCTATAATCAAAACCAGCACAAAATAACTCCCTTAAAAACTTAATAAAAAAAATAAAAAAGAAAAAAGAACTTAAAAAACACTTATCAAACAATAATTAATTACAACATAACAATGCAAAAACTCATTAATCTCAATAAAAAAAATCACTGTATAAACAAAATACCTTGCCATAAAACTTTTGGTTCATCCTACCAAAACTTCCCCAAAGCATCATATCACAACCAACAAAACCCTGCTCCTCCTTACCCATAATCAACCATTAAATTAATCCAAACTCTAAACTAATAACTATAATATCAATTAGCAAAACAATGTATGTATGTATATAGTATAATTAAATGTATATGCTAATTGTTATATCTTCAATAAACGCAGCATATTGCCTTTTCCCCTAAAAAAAAAAATCCCATGTGCTTCTTATAAGCATAACAGGGTGTTGATGCTAAAGGGAGCAGGAGTAGGGTTTGAATTACTGGCAAAAACAGATCTTTTAACACCCGTGCCCAGTGCAGTGGCCTGAATCCCACACGAAGGGGAGTGGGAGAAGCAGGCACTTAGAAAAAGAAGGCATGCAGGGTGGGATTCATAATAGGCACCTAACTCCCATGGAATCAAGTAAACACAGGCTGGCCAGCAGGGCTGGCCTTTGACTCTTGTGAAGCCCCCAGCTATAGGGACCTGCCAAACCCACCCTGCCTAACTTGGGAGAACCCAGAAATGAAAAAGATATTATCAGCATTCATGTTAAAAGCCAAGTTTCTGGCCTGGAAAGAATGAACTTACAGCTAGGGCCGGGCGTTTGTCCCTGATATCTCCTACACCTCAAAGGGTATTCATAGTCTACCAGTGTAGACACCCTGTGCTGAGACCATGTCCTGCAGCACAGGGACCTAATGTTGGGACCATGTGTTGGGGGAAGGGATTTTAGGGTTTTTTCCTCTATGTCCCCCATCTAGCCCTGCTCCTCTCCCTCCCTGTCCCCCATCCAGTCCTGCTACACTGTCTCTTTATCTGTCACCCAACCCTGCGTTCCCACCCCCAGGTTCGTAGGGAGGGTGTTGCCATTTCAGCCTGGCTTGGGCAACCAGTGACAGCGGCAGCTCATTCTCCCCCTCCCACTGTCCCTTCACCTGCACCACATCTCTCTGCCAGCTGGTGTACTGGGTTCTCATTTCAGCACAACTAGCCCTTCAGTGTTGCTGCCAGTGGTAGGGATCAGCCTTCTGTAACCTTCTCAATGCGCCTCTGCTCTCTACCCCCCTGTCCCAGACCAGACCATGAAAAGCCTCCCCGCGGACAAGGAGAACAGCCTAGCTTGAGTTGGTATGAAGCACGTGGAGGAGAGGGGGAACTGCCCCCCCCCATCCAAATGGAGGCCCTGGAAAAAATCTTCCTAATTTTGTTAACCTCTTGGGAACTTCATTAAAAGAGCCCAGTATTATGACTGTTACCACTTGAAGTCAGGCATGATTGGGAAAAGTTTCCAAGGAAGAAGAGAAATCGGATCTCTTTCCATTTTCCTCAGATATTTTTGATGGGGGAAGGGAGGGAAGACTCACTCTGCCAGGGGAAAGAGGAAGAGCACTATGGGTATGTCTGCAATGCAATGTAAGCCCATGCTCCATCTCAGGCTCAAGCCCAAACCCCCTTCTGTCTACACACAAATGTTTTGGACTCAGTCTCAACCCAGGATCCTAGGACCCCACACAGGTGGAGAGTCCAAGCCCGAGTCCAGCCAGGACCCAGAATTCAAGCCTTATTGTTTTGTAGCTTGGACGCAGACTTGGACCCAGGGGATCCACCAATGCTGTCTCACAATCTCTTGTGCCTGTGTCCTTTGTCCTCTCTATCACACGAGCTGCCAATCGACTCCCAGGAAACGGAAGTAACCTTCCTTGTTCAAGTACAACTTGGCTTTTAACCCTTCCATTTTATTCTGACCGCTGAGCTGGAAACACAGTAAACGTTCTCCTGTATTTGCAACAGCCACCAACCAGAAGAAATCCTTTGCCAAGCACACTGCTTCATGGTTGCAGGAGCACTGCCTGATTCTGGTGAATCTCTGGTGTGAGGTGAGCAAAACATTTGATTTTAGTATGAGTACCAGGAATGACTAGGCCTACCAGCAAATAGCTAAGAAGTTGACAGCATTGGAAATGTACTGACCGGTGACCAGTGCAGGGAGCGTATTAAAGTAGCTCAAGACTGACTACTGCAAAGCCAGGGACCAGAACCAGACCTCTGGGAACTTGCCCATCATGCCCATTTTAGGATGACTTTGACCAGGTGCTGGGCATTGTGCCTAGCACAGAACCAACAGCTGTGCACAATGACCTGGAGATCTGGGATGGTGAGCTGCTGGTCCCACAATCCAGCATAGGAGCCAGCAGCTGGTGCTGGATGAAGCCACCAAATTGACTCTGGTGATGAAGCAGGTCCCCAAGGTGGCTTTGCTGCAGGAGCAGCTGCAGCACATCCTGGGGCTATACTTTCAGGAGCTTTTTCAATGCTTCCTGGAGGATTGGTCCACTACAGAACCAGCAGAAGAAACTAAACAGGCAGAAGTCACCCCAGAGCAGGGTAAGTTTCTGGTTCCATTTTTGTGTTTATTAATATAGCTATGAGAGGGATTTCTGATTAATGAACTAATGCAAAAGTTATTACAAGTCAACAGGATGCTGCATTATGGTTGGTGCCTTCCCACAGCTTCCGATACAACTTGTTATGACTGCATGCAAATACTCAGCAATCCATCAGTATCCCCCCACCTCCCCGCCAGTATGTGGAATTCAAAATGGAGACTGGGAAGTGCAAACAGTGAAACAAGCCTCCTAAAATGAAGTTTAACTGGAAAAGCACACATTTTTGCTAAGATATGCCAGCCTGTTAAAAATAAGATTCTTATATTGTCTTCCCGCTCTGTAGCAACTCGACGTTGTAATGAGCCGTCAGCAAACAGTGAACTGCAGGGGCTGGGGGTAGGGGGGAAGTGTTGAAATGTAGTCCATTTACAACTGTAGTCCATTTCAGTTAAGTGTAGTCCATGTGATCCATTTGTCTGAAGCACATCTGGGGGTTTGAATGCAGTCCAGAATTGTGCCAGAGGAGGCAGGGGGAGGAATGCGGATGCTGGTGGGGTTCTGTGTGTTTGCATGCAGTCATAATAGGTTGTATCGAAAGCCATGGGGAGGCACCAACCGTGTGGATGCCAATGCAGCATCCTGTTGATTCCCTAATGAATTTTGACCCAATCCCAGGTGCTGATAGTTACAAACTTTTCCCATAGCAGGAACTCCAGATAGGCAGTCACATTTTGGTGAAGGACATATTTTTCAGGCCACCCGGGTAGCTGACCTGCCGACACCACTCCTAGATGTACTGTTCACTCACCATATATTTGATTACTTCAGTGTCATACACTGCTGTCTTCCCACCAACAGCTTGGAATAAAACCTCTTTTTTCCACTCTGGAAACACAAGAAATGTCATGTCCTCCAAAATGTGGAATGCCTGAAATGACAGAGTCTTATGTAGAAAGCCACAGCAACCACCTTCCCCCAAAGGCCAAACTGGTCTGCAATTTTTAGAAAAAAGTGGTTGTGATTTTTCACCTGCCATATTCTGTGCATGTAATTAACCTGTCTGTGTCCAGAGAGCTTCTGTGATCGGAAGTGTCTCTCTAACAATATACTGAAGTACAGTACTATAAAGTAACATTTTATATCCTTGAAATTCCAAAAGGAATGTTTCTCTGCTCATGTGCCAAGACATTTCAGCAATGAACACCTGTGCCTTGTCTACTTCCATGCCCATCTGCCTCGACAGCTCATCCACACTCCAATAGAAGCCTGTGTCACCAGACCGGTCCAAGAGGAAGTGTGTCCATGCTGAACTTATGGTTGACATCCTGGACAGGGCCAACAAGCAGGTCCAGTACCAAAGAGAGAGGGACTTGCAGCAAGTGGAAAGACAAGAAGGGAGGCAAATGGAAAGGCTCAGGCTGTCTGCACAGCTTGAGGACAAGATTTCAGCATGGAAGCAGACACTAGCTTTGCAGTTCCTGGAAGAGGAACAGCGTCTGAGGGAGGAAGACAGCAGAAAGAACTCTTTGAGTGGCTGTTTTTGCTAATGGCTGCCACCCTGTAGGCACCTGCTGAGCCCATCCCATGGCGTGAGTCCCCTGCTCAGTACAATGTGCTGCAGACCAGGAACAGTTTGGACAATTCCATGTCTGGGTGGGCCATGCAATCGGGCCCTAACAATAGATGTACAGGCCAAATGTTCCCCATGCAGTCCCCCAAACTGAACCCCTCCCTGTGGATGCCTTCTCCCCCCTGCCCAAGCACCCGGTGTGCAGGAAACATGTAAGGAAGGGAGAAGAAAACAGGGACCAGGGGACTCACCACAGTAAGGAATTTTTTGTCTTGGAAATTGTTTCACTTTTTGCCCTTGTTCATGCACCTTGTCCCTGGTCTGGTTTCGCTGTTCCTGGTTTGGTGTGCTAATGGCAGCTGGCCCGCCTGGCAATAGTTTAATACTGTGCTTTTCTAATAAATGTTCAAAAACAAAGATTTTTATTTTATAAAGAAATCGTACTACCAGACCTCATCACATCATATAATGTGTATTTCAAATAATAAAAATAAACACATAAGGGACAACTGTGAAGTTGTATAGAAACACCATTTATTTCTCAATACAGACATCTAAATTCACAGTTCATCTCCCCTCACCCACAATTCCAGTTTCCTAAGTGGTCATCTGATTCATAAGGTACAATTCATGGGAATCAATCCTCCTCTCCCTTACCTAATGTACAGGAAGCATTGCACAAGCACATTCGTAAAGCTACTGTTCTTCCTCTTCCATTGGCCCATGCAAATCCATTATGTGGGGGCAAAGATCATCCCTAATTTCTCTTGCCTGGGTTCATCCAGCTCCAGCTGCAGTAGCTGCACTTTCTGGCTGAGAGTACTGGTTCAGCAGGATGTGTTGGTGAACTCCTCAAACTACCTGTGATGCACAGGGATGGACAGTCAAGTTATCTCACAGTGCACTGTGACAAAGTGTACCCCCGGAGTGAAGCCTGGAAGCTGTTGAAACCACTGTGCCCCCAAATCATTCAGCTGGGTTGGCCTCCCACATTGCTCCGCTGGTGACCCACAGCCAGATACTCCGGGCCCTGTTATCACCCAACATGACAGCAGGTGGCACCACACACCCAACTGAGTCACCCGAGTGCTTTACCTAAGCCACTCATGGACCAACAATGGAGGCACCAGCCAATTTCACAGCTCCCCAGCCTTGCACCCCTACTGGAGTATAAACCCAAAATTATACCGTCTTGCACTGCACAGGGATCTGTATGGTGCAAGCCCATTAATTAGTCTGCTCCCCCCTCGATGTGGGGAAGATATGCACAAGCCTTTGTTAACAGAGCTAAGGTTCCCTAACACTTCACTCAAAAACACACTGGTTAAGATAAAACATAAAACAGGTTTATTAACTACGGAAAGATAGATTTTAAGTGATTATAAGTGATAACAAACAGATCAAAGCAGATTTCCTAGGAAATCAAACAAAATCCAATCTAAGACTTATACAAATTAGATAGGATTTGAATCAGCAATATCTCATCCTGACTGATGATACAAGCAGGATTACAGATTCTTGAGGCACAGGCTGCATCTGCTTTGCAGTCTGGGTTCCCTTCCCCTGTTCAAAGTCCTTTTTCTTCCAGAGGTTCTTCCAGGTGTTGAGTTGTGGGGAAGTGAAGACAAGTGATGATGTCACTACCCATCTTTTATAGTTTCTTCCAGCTTGCTGGAAAGTCTATGTATGTGACGTGGGGGTCCACCCCCATTAGCCAAATATTCTCCATGGTCTCCGTGCTCCTTCTGAGGAGGCTTCCTTATACAGAGTTCCTGAACTAGTAGTTTCTTCCCTTGATGGGTGTTGATGACAGCAATTAACACTGTCTGGCTACTCTATTGTTGTACCTGAAAGGCTGGTTTTGGGTGTTTCCAGTCACACACACATCACACTTTAGTAACTCACACATAGCAAGATTTCATAACTTCACATATGATGATAGCAAATACAATCCACTGAGATATTAATGTTTAGCAGATCAAGACTTTTAGAATGATACCTCACAAGGCATACTTTGTACAAAACATATCATAATTACATCACCATGGTAAATATATGGTGTTTTGGGCTGCAGAATGTCAAATGTATCAAAAATAAAGGGCTAGAGCGGTCACATTTCAGAAGGGCACTAGGAAATCTGGAATATTGTTAGTTTGATTCAGGACTGTGTGCTGCAATACAGATGCTGGAGCCCCAGGTTGGGGCCCAGGTTCAAATATTCTCAGCCAGGGGTCAGTAATCAGTGTGGATGCTCAAGACCTGGGTTCTCATACCCAAGGTTTGCTGACTCCAGTTCCACTAACCCTGGGCTTACATTACAGTGTACATATGCTAAGTGGCTAAGGGCCACTGGCATCCATATAGACAATGTGAAATAAACTATGGATATTGCTAAATATCAAAAGAAGACAGTATCATCAGACTTTCTATAAAAGGCTGTGTGAGGAGGATTTTGGCCAAACTTTTGCAAAGATTTTTCTGGCTGAATATTTATTAAGAAGGAGCTGAATGGTGTCAATCCTGCCCAGAATGTCAGATAGTAGACCAGAAACAATAAAAAACAGACATCAGTTGATTTCAATTCTTATCATAGGTACACAATTTGAAAGGATTGCAATGAGTATCATGGGTCCACTAGAACAGAATTACCAAATGAATCAATACATTTTAATTATTTGTGACTACATGACTCAATATCCAGAGGCAGTCCCTTTACAGTGCTACTGCCATGAGAATTGCAGAGAAAGTGATGATACTCTTTAGTAGGGTGGACATCCATAGAATATTCCTGACGGATCAGGGAACTAATTTCCAAGCATCCCTATTAAAAGAGTTTTACCAACTCTTAGGCATTAAAGACATCTGAACTAGCCCTTATCCAAATGATCCCTAATCCACTGGTGGATGGGCTAGTGGAAAGGATGGATCAATCCCTGAAATGAACATTAAAATATATATGCACAGTCCGTACCCAGACAGTGGGATTTTATCTTTCATTTGCTTATTGAAAAGCCACACAGGCTTCAATGTAATTCTCTCCATTCGAGTTGTATGGCTGACAGCCTAGTGGTCCATAGACGTGATCAAAGAAAGTTTGCAGGGATGAACCACGGACTCCCCCAATTTTATCGATTATATTGTAAATCTGAAGGACAACTTGCAGAGGTCTCCCACATAGCTGAAGAAAATCTAGAAGAGGAGGCACAAACAAGATGATATAATAAACAAGTTCAGAAATGGCAGCTTAGGGTGGGAAGTAAAGTTCTGTTATTGTTATCCACCACTACCAAAGATAAGCTGCTAGCTAAATGGCATGGTCTGTTTGTAGTATCAAGGCAGGTAGGAATGACATATTGTGAAATCGAATTATCTGAAGAAAAGGGAAAGAACTTTCATATAAATATATTAAGACCCTGGATTGAAAGGAA